TTGCTAGCCTCGGTAATTGCTACATATTCTGTTTCGCACATTGAAAGACTGACAGTGGTTTGTTTACAGCTTGACCTGCTCACAAGGTTATTTCCTATTTTAAAACAGTAACCAGAATATGATTTTCTGTCATTATCGCTAGCATAATCAGCATCGCAAAAGCCCACAATATCTATTTCTCCGTTTCTTTGATAACTAAGCATTACATCTGCAGTTCCTTTTAAATATTTAAATACTCTCTTTACTGCCTCCCAGTCAGTTCTATCAAACGCATTGTTATACTTGCTCAGATGTGAAACAATATGTGCGATATCAGGTCGGGCCATCACCGCAGCATACATTAAACAGCTGATTGCCTGCTGATAGGGTATTCTTGACATCAACTCAGAATCTATCACCTCAGGTTTCTTAAGTTTTAAGCCAGAATCGCATGGAGTTGAAAGTGCATTACATTTATCCATAAAAAAACATTCTAAAATTTCATAAATGTATTTTTCCTGGCTTAGTGTAATTGTGCCAGTGTTGTTATCCTTTCTAATTTCTATCCCTAAGAAGGACTTTGGAGAACCCAAGTCTTTTAGTTTGAACGATTCTGTCAATCTCTGCTTAATTTCATCTACCCATTTATCATTATTATGAGCTATTATAATGTCATCTACATGAATCAGCAGTAATAAAATTTTCGTACCTTCAGCCCTATAATATAAACAGTCATCAGAGCTTGATCTCTTCAACTTTATCTGCATTACTTTTTCTTTTAGTGTTTGTTGCCACACACGCCCTGATTGTTTTAATCCGTACAATGCTTCATGCAATTTATAAACCTAGTTTTCTTTCCCTTCTATGCTGAAACCTTCTGGTTCAGTTACATAGATTTCGTCATGCAGCTCTCCATTAAGAAAAACTGTCTTGAAATCAAACTGCCTAAGTTCTAAGTTTTTCATTGCAGCTGATGTAAATAGCATCCTAATAGTTGTGCTCCTAGTGGTCGATGCATATGTTTCCCCAAAATCTACTCCACTAACCTGATTGCAGCCTTTAGCTACTAACCTAGCTTTGAATTTACTTTTCCCTTCTAATTCCTTCCTTGTAAAAACCCATTTAGTTTTTATCACTCTCTTATCACTAGGCAATTCACATAATGTCCATACCTTTTGCCTTTTGCCATTCAATCGCCTTTAACTCAGTTTTCATTGCATTAATCTAATCTTTAGAATTTGGATTCTTAATTGCCTGCATATATGGAAAAGGCACTTGACCTAATGCATAGACAATTGGATTTCTGTATCTTTGTGGTGATCCAACATTTCTCCTTAATCGAGCACTTGTTGTCGAGACAGATGAATGGCTCTGCTCTTGATTTTGCTCGTGCTCTTCAGATGCATCATCTGAGTCCTCACATTTGGAATCAGCCTCCTCTGACCTCTGGTGTTCATCTTCATTGAACTTTGTCTTGTCATCTGAACTGGAGATGGGGAATATGTGAACAGTTTCTATTTCTTGTCAGATGTATATATGTATATCTTCTTGACATTTCATCAAATTTCACTTCTCTTGATACCACAATGGACTTGTTGCTCGGATCATACAGTCTGTAAGCTTTCATGGTGGGCAAATAACCAAGAAAGATGCATTTTCGTGCTTGTGCTTGTAACTTATGCTTTTGTTGCACCTTATGGATGTGTACATAAGCTGTGCATCTGAATACTCTAAGATGTCTTAAACTCACTTTTTGGTTAAACCATTTCTCATATGGAATATTTCCATTCTTTTGTGGAATTTGATTCATGATGTAAGCTGCTGTTAATATACTTTCTCCCCAGTACTCCGGTGGAATATTAGCTTCAAGTAACATACAATGGGCCTTTTCTAATAAAGTTCTATTCATCTGCTCGGATTTTCTGTTCTGTTGTGGTGAGTACGGAGAAGTAACTTGGTGAATTATTCCATTTTTACTTAAAAAGCTTTTAAATTGACTATTCACATATTCACCACCATTATCAGTTTACAAGTTTTTTATTTGTTTACCTGTTTGCTTTTCTACCAATCTTTTATAGTTTATAACAGGGCTGTGGAGTCGGAGTCATGGAGTTTTGGTGTTTTAGCCGGAGTCGGAGTCGGATGGTAAGGAAAAGTCGGAGTCGGAGTCGGTAGATTTTTACACGACTCCACAGCCCTGGTTTATAAAACAATTAAGTACCTCACTTTTGGATTTTAGGAGATATACATGGATCCATCCGGAATAATCGTGAATGAAAGTTAGCAAATATTTCACACCTCCAAGTGATGTCACTCCCATAGGGCCACATATGTCACTATGGACTAGCTCTAATAAACCTTTTGTTTCATGATTTTTTCTTTGGCCAAATGGCTGGCGTTGACTTTTGCCTTTGGTACACACATCACAAACTTCATTTGGTACTGTTTTGTAGTCGACACTGTTTGGTTTCTCCTTTAATACATGTTTCATGGTAGCTTCACTTGGATGTCCCATTCGTTTGTGCCATAACCAATATTTATTTTGAGGACTAGCTATATTAACAATGTTTTTATATGTATCCAGTACATATAACTGGTTTATTTTCTATGCTGTGGCACACACAAGTTCACCCTTTCTGATGACACATTTATTTCCATAAAAGTGAGTACTCAAGCCTCTCTTGGTAAGCTGGCTTACTGATAACAGATTGATGGTTGCTTCGGGCACATATCAAACATGTTTTAGTATACAATTGAAGGGTACACCTTACACATTTAAGTGCAAGGATATATCGCCTTCACCTGCGACTCTCAAACTTGAATTGTTTGCCACAAATATCACGTGATTAGCAGGTCTAAACTTTACGAAAAGCTCACAAGCATAACTTAAATGATGAGTGCTACCACTGTCTATTATCCAATCAGAGTTATGTGTGTCAACACTTGTTTATAACTGAACATAGCACTATCTGATTTTTCTGGTTTGGATTTGTTTCACTGTGACATTGCGATGCTTTATGTTCATACTTTTTGCACTTGAAGCATTTTCCATTAAAGACTCTTGTATCGTCATGTTTTTGGTTTATACTTTTCTATTGAAACAGTTTCTTGTTGCACTAAACACTTTTGGCTCATTAGTACTACTCCATTAATTTTTTCTGGCAGCCTGTTGCAGCAGTTTAGCTTTATCTGCAACTGAGGTTAATTTTGTGTCTGCAGCAATCGCTAAATTGGTCACTAAACTATCATATTCCTTCCGGTAAACGCATCAATAATAATTCAGCATGCTCCTGATCATCAATTATACAACCAATTTTCCTCAACTGGTCAATGAGGGTTTGTATTTTGTTAATATAAGGGCCCATACCTGAGCACATGTTAAATTCCATAGAGTAAAGATCCCTTTTTATCTGCAGCCTTTTCAGAATACTCTTATCTTCATACAGATTTGCTATTGTATCCCATGCTTCCTTCGCACTTGTACAATGTTGGATATCAACTTTAACATGGTCCCCAACTGTCAGGGCTATTGTTCCTAACGTCCTTCGATCACAACTTTTTTCCTTTGCCATAGGATCTCGATCTGTTACCGGCGTCTCAATCACTGCCCACAGATCTTCCTTCATCAATAGCATTTTCACATCAAATTGCCATGATGATAAATTGGATGAATCATCCAGTTTTTGGAAGTTGATGAACCCTTCTTTTGTGAAGATATCTCCATGAAAATTTTCCATCTCACACGTTGTCTTTTGTATCCTACCAAATCTCATATAAATCCAGTATCAAACCGAACAAAAACTATAAAGACATTACTGTCCTGGGTTACTGGGAAGACATTTCTGTTCCTGAATCCATAACCTATTGTTTGTAATTTTTGTTGGTGAAGTTGAATAAACTGAGCCAGCAAGGATGTAAACGAAGACGGACAAAACTTCTATACGTCTTTATTCAATGAAGAGCTACAGACACACTGGAAGTTAGAAAAATAGCAATAATTCAGAGGGTCATAGGCAACAAGAAAAAATAAACAGTGTCATCGTACATCACATTCTATCTTTCAGGAGATCAAGAGATAAATTTTTTAACACTTGACAGCCACATTCCTAACATATATTACATTTATATTAATTTAAGTTATGTAAAACCAAGACGAAGACATCTAACCAACTCTTATTACCTTTAGTTAGCAATACATTTCAGATTGAAAATAAAAAAATTACCAATTTCTCTGCAGGTTCATGAACATGAGTAAGACAATTGCTGCATTTAATACAGATAGTTGAAATGAAATGTGATAAAGTCACTAATCGTGTGATTATGCGAAATAGTTCTTTATATAAACAGCCAAAAATTATATAAAATTAATATGAATAGAAATATACAGTTAAAAGAATCATTAGAAAAATTTTTTTATAATGAAACTATTGCTATAATCACTTTAACAATTATAAATGAAAGTGATAAGCTTTCATTTTATTTTGATATTTTAGTTTTTATAAATAAAATAAAAGGCTGTTCATTAATTATATGTACACTTTTTAAGCCACTTTAAACTTCTCTCCCAGTTATGCACTATAATATACTTTTCACAAACCTCACCCCTTTAATTACATCTACAATAGTTCTTGGATCCCCTGATATTGAAGAAATGAATTCAAAAAGTTCTGCAAATATTTTATGTTTAGTAATATATTCACAAGCAGGGGCCACTGTGAAAGGGGAGATGGGGATTTTTCCTGACTCGGAAAAAACTTAGAGGAACCTAGTGGTTTCTATCCATATAAAATTAATGTTAGTTTTCTAACAGAAAATAAACTTTTTAAAACTTCTTTTATTAGTAAACAAATATTAAAAAGATTAAAGGAGCCTGTATGTTCTACCCCAAGCCCCATACAAGCTCTCAACAGTTAACATGACTAGTATGTAGGCTTAAAAGAACAAATTTGTATGCCACTAATACCACTAAAACAATACGATTGAACTTAAGAAGATACTTAATGATATCAAAAGATATTTACTTTAGCAATATGTTTCAATAATGCTGTTCCAACACCCTTACTGCGATATTCCGGCTTCACATAAATATCTTCCATATACATAGCTCTACCTTCCCACGTTGAATAGGTATAATAGAAGAAAACATATCCAATAATCTCTAGAAAAAAATTAAATTTATTTCTCATAATAAAATTAAGTTTTAAATAGAAATAAAATTTCTTTATTTAACAGGTTAAAGTAGACAAATTTACTCATCTTTACCACAACACTGGAGAATAGTAATATAATTACCTCTTTCTAACCTGTTACCGGTGTGTCTACTAACTCTTAACGATCCAAAACGAACCAAAACTAACGTTTTCGAAACGGTTAAAAACCTGAAGAAGAACCTTAAACGGTTCTTCTTCAGGTTTTTTCGAATCTCTGATGGAAAATGCAGCTCGTAAAAACTTTAAATTCGAAATATGTAAGTTCGAATGCACGTTTCCCGTTTCCGTCGTTGTATGTCATGCGCAGTCGACTCCAAACGGGCTATCATAAATTACTATTCATAAACGCTAGCCACGCTGTTGATAACGTAATCTCTTCTTTATAATTGATGCATTGATTATCCTTAAGGTTAGCCAAGTATATGCTGGCCGCCTCTAGCCATCTGATATGGTGTACGTGCCGTGCGGTGCGGATAATTCTTGCTTTCTTAAATTCGGGTT